CCCCAAAACCCCAAAACCCCAAAACCCCAAAACCCCGAAATATAGTAATAATATTGAAAATGTTTCAAAATTATCTCAAAGATGAAGAGATGAATAAGCTCTCGTTTAAAAGAAGTTCACGAAAGAATAGAAATTTAGGTGGTCTGAAGCTCTTACTGCAAGGTATACTGTCTTTTGTGATCAATAGGTAGCAATCCAGATCAAATAGACTTAAGAATATTAGACAATAAATTGAAATTTGTCTTCTCTCCTGCTAAAGCCTACAAAGTAAGCTATCAAATCCCAATGTAGAAAATATAAATCGCGATAGAAACTACCTCTCCTGTCGAAAGAAAGCAAAGATAGTATCTCCTCAAAATCTGACCAACAACCCTCAGCAGGCTGCTAGAGCTCTACAGAGAAATGGTTTAAGGTACTTACAGAGTATAATGGCAAAAAGAATAAGAAAACCATGAATGGTAGACTTATTCTGCAGTCAGTTGTTTCTTTAACAATTATTTCACTTTTAATTTATTCAAAAGGAATAAGGAGATTCATCAAAATACAATATTGGTCCCTAAGAACACAACTGATGAGGATGATATCCAGCAGCAGATGAGTAAGAACTCACTCAATGTCAAGAGGATTGTGACCAAAGGTAAGGGTCTCTATCTTACAAAATAGAACCTCCATCTCTATTTGGAAATGTTTCCAAGATTCGAATGTTCTCTCCAAACGTGACTGGAACTTTTAACAACAAAATACTCAAGAGGAACCTTAAGAATACCTCAAAATAGCAGAGTAGGTGCATATTGTGGAAGAAGATTTCTAAATAACTTGCTGGCTAGATCTCATTTAATCATATTCAGAAACTAATTCTTTAGGATCTGCACAATAAATTCTTCCAGACAGAGTTTTACTCTCGGAAGGATAGATGCGAAATCTGGAAACAGATTCCAATTAAAAATATGAGTATGGATCAATCTTACTGAAAATAGTGATGAAATAAGAACAAAAGAGAAGCACAAATTAATTTAAATATCTTGAAGAATCCAGAAACAGGCGAAAAAGTACGATTTAAATGAACATTTTATAGGCTGATGACTGACTACAAGTATTTATGAGTCCGAAAATTCAGAAGAGACCAAGTACTTGTGCTAAGGCTACTCAGAAAGAAGCTAATAGTATCTCTTAATGTCTTAATTATAGTTCAACAAACAGAGAAGGTGCCAAGGAAGAGCATAGAGAATATTAATTCTTTGCAAAAGTCATTCAGTGACGCAAACATTCCAATAGTCCACAAAAGAGGGAAAAGCAAGCCTATAATAAAGGACTTTAAGAATCTTTCGAGAATGAGAAAACAACAAGGAAATATGAATTTTAGAAAATACTTGAAAAAAATAAAATCTCAACATAAAAAATCGAGGGTAATCAAGAGCATGAATCAGACAGGATTTAACACTTGTCTGAAACTTAAAGAGAAGAAGTCAATATCTCCTTGAAATATAGTGAGAGAATCCCATGGCCATTGTAAACAGGTCTTCTCAAGGGATATCACTGGCTTATCGACCCAAGAGTTATTCAATGATATATTTTGTTACTCTAAACCTTAATTTACTAATCTTTTTCATCAATCCCTTGTGATAATTTAGGGGTTTTGGGGTTTTGGGGTTTTGGGG